ACAGGAAACATACAAAAAACTTTATGAGTTTATTAGCCAATGTGTACGTCCTATTTTGACTGAGAAAGTTGCAAACTTAAACTTATACATCCTCGTGAATAATTTCAGAGCAGAAATTTGCTATTTATAGGACAATGACCTCAACCAGAGTGGTGGCATTAGCTTCCGCGAATTCACCAATTTTACTCTGGCTCTTATGAATTTGAACAGAGCAGGTTAGCTGCTAATTTAGCGATATTTTTTCAGTTTAATTACTAGATACTTAGAAATGGAGCAGCTTTTCCTCTCTGGTGACGTTGATCGCAACAGTGAATTGGACGGGGATGAGTGTATTCCAATGAGAGCTGCTCTTCAGAAAAAACTCAAGGAAAAGGGAGAGGCGCTCTTCAAAGTGAGAAAGAATATAACAATTTCCTTAAGCGTAATTTCATAATACTTCTAGAAGTATGATACGGATAATGATGGAAAGCTATCTGAGAATGAGGCCAGCCAGTTAGCACAAAATGAGTTTGCACTTCCAGATGATATCACAAAACAGTTTGCATTGTCCGATCAGGTAAAAGTAGCTTCATTGCTAAATAAATGGAATTATTGCCAAAATACTACCTTCAGAACGCGGACCACTCGATCTCTCCTGAAGCAGAAATGTCCGAACTTATGTTGAACCTTAGAGTGAAGCAGGTCGCCAACGAAGGAGCAAATCTATCAGTAGGCAAATAATTCTTCTCCGGTGGTTGTGGTTTACTAATAAATAACGAAGTTTTATACTAACATTCAAATATAACATTTGGTCTTGGTTGAAAACAGGAAACATAAATAGCAGTATCAAGTAAATAACATAAACTTTGTAGCAACAAACACGCACTACAAAAAAACTGAGCTCCAGTAGCACATGGTATTTGACCTGAGTCATTATTTCCATGATTTATTGGGAAGCTGTATGGCAGTCCTTATTTGAAAAAGAAAAATAGATTCATGAAAATCATTTTACAATGAGTGAAAACGAGGCTGTAGCAAGGTTTTGAAGTCTTCAATCAGTCAAAACATAAGTAGTTATGACTTCTAAATACACTTCGAAATTGTTAATGACGGTGATTCAAGTACTGTTCATCGCCACAGGTACTCAAAGAAAGGTTATCTTTACCGAGGAATAACAATCTTTACAATGAACCAGAACAGAATGCGAATAACGAAATTTGAAAGGACCATCAGAGGGAGTGTACCAGAAAAAATCCGGTCAAATCTAATCTATTTCTTTAATAAGAAAAAAAAACCTTTAAACTAAATAACTCACGGGGTCCCACATATGTGAATAAATATGAAACAAAAATTTATTTTGCTCCGATTCCTCCCTTCCCTAGGCGGAGTTTTCAGTCTTTAGCCTCTCTTCGGGACTCCTCATAAGGAGAAAGCGCCTTGGTTTTCATAGAAAATTCATAGAAGAAAAATATTTAACCCGTCTTATTTTTTGAAAATTTCTTCTTCTCTTTGGACGATTCATAAGACGAAAGTAAGTTAAAATGTATCATTTGAAGGAGCGCAAACAATGAATAGCTAAGTACGTACAGAATATGGTAGAGCATAATATCAAGTAATACAATTACTATTAGTCATGTATTTTCCACATCACACTTATTTCCCCCCAATCGATCTTGTAGGAGAAGTACCTCCTACTGAAG